ACACCTGCCCGTCGGCCCTGGCTGGAGGTGGGATGTTGTTATCCTCCAGCCCTCTCTTCTCCTGGGTGGTTTGGCTGATTTTGCACATCCCCGCTGGACCGGGCAGCTCTGGTGCCAGGGAGATTGTTCACCAAAAAAATGACATATATTGGATAATAGTGAAGGTAGAATTGAATTGAACCTCGTGAGCACTTGTTAACATAATATGAGCTTTCCTCTTGCTAAATTATATGTATTTAGATCAATATAGTATTCCTTCTGATTGTTATAACCTCAAAATCTTTCATATAGGAGAAAACATGTGCAGCCTCAGCAGCAGAAGAATGCAGACAACTGCAGTGTGACTGACAGCCATAAGATCAAATCATAGACTCATTTAGGTTGGAAAGGACCTTTAAGATCGCTGAGTCCAACTGTAAATCAGTAAGATCAAATCACGAATGTCTTCTCAAAAATGGGTCTTTGCTGACCACATGGAAAAACATTTTAAAAATATATGAAACAGTGGAGGCCCAAGAATCTCTTCCTATGTTTTTGTCTCTTTCCTTTCCAAAATGAACCTTGGCAACGAGAGCAGCAGATATTTAGGTAGGCAATTTCATCTGGAGTTATGCAGTGTTCCACACCAGTGGGAGCAGTAGGGTCTGATGGGTTTTTTTTTTTGCTCAGCACATCACTAATCAGTGCACCAGAAACATGCCTGCATCTCATAGTTTGTCTTTATACTAAAAACAAGAAAATAACCTGACAATGAAAAACTGAAGAGAATGGTAACTCTAAGCTACCTGCAGTTTGTATTTCATACCAGTATTAACTGGGGATTTCCTAGAGCAGAAAATATTGATTTTTATTTTTATTCTGAACAAACACAAGCTGAAATCCTTCTGAAAAGGAGATTGAAGAAAACTTCCTTTTCAGAAGTTTTCCAGTATTTTCCGAACAAAACTCTGCCTCACCGGACAGCAAAGCCCGGCATTGTGATTTGTAGCTGGGATCCATCCAGCATCCCCTTCCCAGCTGCACCAGTAGCACGGTGCCTGGGGCTGCTGCCCGAAAAAGCATCAACAAACTGTACATTTTTATGGATCATTTAATTTTAAAATTTGTTACCAGTGATGTTCTGCATTTATTTAAAAACAAACAACCAACCAAAAAAAAAAATCCCCAAACAAACCACAAAACGCCGAGCAAAAGGTGAGCAGCCCACAATGAGAAGCATGAAGGTGGTACTTTTTAGAAAGAAAACTTTATACACGACTAAGGCCTTTGCTGGTCTTTTGTTTGCTGTTTCTGCTTAGCTCATGAGAACTAAATATTGTCAGTGTAGTCCACACGCAGTGTGGTACATTAATTTCAAATTTAGGTTTTTTGCTAATAATCCTACCCACTCTGAATTAGGAAAAAAAAAAAATGTTTTCACTCCCGTTGCATAACACAGAAAAATATTTGCCTCTTAATAGAAAGCTTTCCAAGGAGCCACTGCGTGGTGATGTGGAGAAGGGGCCAGATAAAGTACTGTTTCCTGCTACTTAAGGGCTTGCAGACCCCATGGAACCTGCGGGGTGGTCGCGGCTCTTGTCTTGCACAGGGCAAAACCCACGGTCATGATAAATCTTCCCAGTGTCCATCAGCACCTGAAAGACAAAACCCATGGTCACTGAAAATCTTCCCAGTGTCTTTCAGTCATGGTGGAAACACTTGAGGTGTCAATAGCTTAAACTCAACTTCCAGTTCATGAAAGCTTGCCCAATGTATGGATCCAGTGCGTTATTCCAGTACCTCTCCCAGAATTTGTCTCTAGTGTCCCCAGAAATAGATTATATCTACTTACACCCATCATGTTCAGTTTATTCCAGGTGCAGCAAATCTTCACCCCTCCATAGGGCAGGTTTCCCAGCACTGCTAGGAGACTGCCCTGTGGAGCAGGCACGACTGGAGATTGTCTCAACAGAGGGGAGAGCTGTGACAAAAATAAAAGGTGGTCGCTAAAGCAGAAGTGTGGAGTAGCATCCGCCTGTGGGTGAGGACTTGCACAAATGAAGGATGGGCAATTGGGCGAATGCACAGAAAACCCACTGGGTAATGGGGGAAGAAACACTCTATTAAGTCAGCAATGGCAGGACGTCATCACGTGTAGGAAACCACCACATGCAGACCATGCGGAGCAACCTCTCTGTTCCACTTGGCAACATCTCCCTGGGAGTGCTGCATCTCGCACTGGGCACACTCAGGCAAATGTGCGTGAACTGGAGGACTTCCAGACACCACAAAAAACACACACAGTTTTGGGGAAATGTGATGTCTGAAATGAGTGAGAACGAACTGAGTTTCTTTTAGACTGAGTTTGTCTAGATAAATGAAGTCTGAGAGAACAAGCACACAAGTCTTTAAATGGATTAAATCTTTCTTCAAAGAGAAGTTTAGACCTATGCTTCATAGCACCAGGGACAAAAGAAGTCATAGTTTAAAACTGCAGCAAGGTGCGTACCTGTAACTGCCTGGATAAGTGTGTGCTGGTGTGTTGCCATCCAGGTGGGTTGGGGGTCTCCCTGGAGCTTTGAAGCCTCAGGGTGGATGGGTCCATCAGGACTACATACCTTGGGCTGGCCCCACTTTGGGCAGCCAGGTGGACCAGTTCCCTCCAGTAACCCAGAAACACACTGTCAGACAGGCGTTGATAAACGGGGAAGGGAGCTGGCATTTCTCGGAACGCCGGGGCTCTGGGGTGGGTGTCCTGCAGCCAGGAGACCCAGGACCTGCCTGCTCAGGGTTGTGCTCCCCAGGAGCTCCACCACATATCGGGACCAGCCTGAAACGCACCGGCCACGCGTGAGCTAATGATGGAGAAGTGTCCTAGGGGTTCCTTAGGGGTTCCACTGCAGTGTTCACCTCTTTCGTACAACTTGAGGGAAGTGGTGGGAACACTGGCAGGCAGTCCCCGGTCCCTGGATGGGTGGAAACTCAGCGTGAGAGGTAGACCTCTTCCCAGTCATAGTCTAGCTTCTGGCAACCTCCACTGATGGTATGCCCGTGCAGTAGACTTTCATTTTCTTCCATTGTTCAGGTGATGGTTTTGTATGGTTTATCTCACACAAGTTTTGCTTTTGTGTTGTTCATCTTGGACATTTTTAGTTGCTCTTCTTTTGAATGCTTCAGAAGCTGAACTATGAGCTTTATGGTCCTCTGAGGAGGTGCTGGTGCCACAAGGTGCTATAGGAGCAAAGGCAAAATGTGACCGGTTCACAGCTCTTTGTGTGGTCAGTCCCACTTAAAGTTTTTTTTAAAAGTCTTGGCTGCACAAACTACTTCATTTCTCAAGAAGGAATAAGCTTTATATGTCCCTGTTATTTTTATGGGGTAACAAAAAGAAATCTGATTTTTTTTCCTATGCAGATGATGGAGAAGTAGTCACGCAAATTGGTTATATGTTTATTATCCACTTGAGATTTTAATGTTAGTGGTTGAAAGTTAATGAATTTATGGATTGGTTTGACGTAATCATTGAGAAGAGAAAGTTGAAGGCAGAAGGTGTGTTTGCCAGCTGTGGAAAATTGTAGTCTGTCTGCCTGCCTGCCTGCCTCCGGGTAGGACGTGAGCGATGGGCGAGAGAGAACCAGCTCTCTGTTTAATCTCACCCAAAACGTCCTCACGCGGTTCTGTTAAACATCGAGACTTGTGCGTAAACGCTAAGAGTGCGCGTTTGCTTTCCCTGGGCTGTGACAGCTGGATTCCTCTGAGATGTCCTTCACATCTGGAAAAGCGGCCGTTGATGGTGCTGATGAAGGAGGGGTGTGCGATGAGAGGTGCGATGAAGCTGACCCGCCCGTGCATGGAACCTGGCTGTCCCTCTGCTCTTTCAGAGTATCTGATGCTTCTGTAGTGTGGCTGGTTCCCGTAAAAGATTATGGTCTCTTAACGTGGCGCGCTGAGCGATGGCTGAGATGGTGAGAGAAGCAGACGAGAGGCAATCAGCATTTTACATGTACATAAACACCTTAAAGCAACATCTGGAAAACTGCTTGGGAAAAAAATAAACAGATTTTTATTTATAAGGTCTTTGGTTTAGTTTTTATAGCATTTTTATGATGCACATAAATTATTGTTTAAAAACAGAAAATGTAAAAGAAATTCCTGGGAGAAGGCAATTGTTGTTCAGCCTTTCCTTTGATAACCTCTTTCCCGAGGAATTTGTTGTGTTTTATTTTCAGCTTACAGTTGCCTTTCGCTGGCAACTGGAAAAACTGACAGTCGCTTTTTACCATTATTTGTATCTGTGGTTCTAAGCTTAAAATGTTTATTGCTATTTACAACGTTTGTTACTTAAAAAGACAAAATATATTTACTGAAACAACTCTATATCTGGTGTAATACTAGAAAAGTCATGCCAGTACGTGGTATTTACAGTTGGCTCATAATTGCAAAGGTAAGTTTGTTCTTTTAATATGCAAAACAAGATCTCAAAGACCATCTGAGCCGATGGGGTTTATGGGGCATTTGCAGAAGACAGGATGCAGAAGATAGGTGGTGCTGGCCCTGTCTGTGCTTTGGACCCTGCACCCTGGGCTCTGTCGTACCCCTCCCCAGCTGCGGGGGGGTTCTCCCGGCCAAGCCCACCAGGACCCCGCAGCCTCTCAGCCGGCACCTCTGTTGGGGCTTCATGTGCTTTTTTATGAATCTGAGGTTTTAAATACATCTTGTACGACACTAACACTTATAAATAGCTATACTGTATGTTGAGTAACTGAGTTGGAAAAACAGTTTTTTTCAGAATGGGATTGATACGTCTTCATGTCTCGGTTGTGTTTTTTACCCCAGATACGCAGAATATGTATCAGAATCTGCTGTGTGGGATAATTTTTACACTGCTGGAAGAAAACAGGATTGAATGTGAATCAAGCTGGAAAACATGCGCCAGGCTGAGAGTAACGTAGAAGAGAAGTGGCGTTAAGTAATCTGCGTATCTAGATGCAAATGTCCATTTTACAATTCTTTTTTTTCAGTTGCCCCCACAATTCAGGAACTTAAATCCAGCGGTGTGATGCTTGGAGGGAACGGACTGATACGGTGCGAAGGTGCAGGAGTTCCTGCCCCGGTCTTTGAGTGGTACAAAGGAGAGAGGAAGTAAGTAGCCGGTGCTTGCCGACCCCCTCGTGCTGCTGGGGATGCTGCCCACCCGTGGGGACCAGGGTGGAAGAGAGAGGAGACCGCCAGGCTGGGTTTGCCCCTCGTGATGACAAATCCGACAGGCTGTCCTGAAATTAATGCCGAGCTTTAAATAGGAGGTGCTCAGAGGTGTCCGCTACCAACAGCCATGCTGCGTGGCTGTTGGGGCAGTTTCTCGCTTTCCTTGCCGTCGTAGTTTCTGTGCTCAAAAATGAGGCGTAAGCAGGCTGTCGGTGGCTGGGCTGTGCTAGTGTTAATTGCAATAATGAGCCTAATGTTTAAGCATCCTTTAGTAATTACAGCCTTTTAAGTGTAATAACCAGAAAGGCACTGAAAAACTCTACTAAAAGGATTTTATTCTTTTTTTAATTCATCTTCATAGGTTTCCTACTGAGGGTTTTGGGGGTAGAAAGGCTGTTTCAGGAACAAAACTTTCAACCAAACCTTAATATGTATGAATTTTCACCCGGTTGTGCCATCAGCAGTCGAGGCCACGGGTTTATAGTTCACAGACTTGAGCAGAGTTGATGCATGTCACAGCATCCAAGAGGGGGTCAGGGCAGAGCTCTCTGCTCGAACCCTAAAAACTGACCGTCTGCTTTGGTTGTGTTTACAGCCAGCTTCACTTTCAGGTCGTTAGTGCTATGTAATGGAAACAGGCATCTCTGTAGGGTCATCTTTATTTTAAAAATCAGCTCATTAAACAGGTAAATATTTTACTTTTTGAATAGGAAATTTTGTTTTACAACTCTTAGCTTATCTAAGAGCTTATTTCTGTTAAGTTTGAGTGTTGGCGCAAAAGCAAGTGATTATTGTCCCTTGTAAGCAACTGTCCATACGCACCTTCTAGCTTCTGGAATTTCCTGGCTTCCCAGTGTTGAGTTTCTCGGCTCAAACATCCCATTAAACCTGGGAGTTGACATGAGAATATTAATGACCATTTTTCATAGAAAGCCATCTGTCAGCTCATTTCTCACTGGCCAGCTGGTCCCCTTCAGCAGCATTAGCTGCTCATCTTTCTTCGTGACCTTTCAGAGCAGTCGTAACTATTGCACTTTGACCATGTCCTAGAGCATTCTCTAAAACAATATAATTGATCTTTACTATATATAACAGTAAATGTTTTTCTTCTGTTGGCAGAATTCATCTGCATCTTATTTCCAAAGATGCATATTACATTGTAGACATGTTGGGGGGAGTGGCAGCAGAAACATATTTTATGTAGAAAGTATTGTAGCACAGGTTTTAGCACTCTGGGTTCCATTAGCCGTTTCCAGCGTGATAATCACCTTTCTATTTATAACACTGACCAATTCCTTTCTTCGTGAGCGCATTCAGTGCCACGGCAGCAGCAGAAAGACTGAGCAGAGCATTTCAGGATACCAAAGTTGTGCCTTCTGTTTTCTGATTCAGTTGGTGTATCACCTGAGGCTTGCTATAATCAGCAAGAAACGTACTGTCCTGTTGTCTCTTACTGCTCACGTATTATGTTAAATCTAATGGTCCACCTTTTTTTGTTAAGCTGTTGTTGAGATATGCTAGACATATGTGACTACAAAGGTACTGGGGATCTCTGAACCTCCACCACTTGCAGGAAAGAGGAAAACCTGTACACACCGGTTTTTTCCTCCAGTATATCCATTTACCTCTGGATGATGGAAAGCCAGCACAGGATGAGCCTCAGACAGTTCAGTCATTGTTTTAATGCAAAACTAAGAAGAGTCAGCTCTCACAGGTAGTTCAGAGTGGCATGTGGATAATTTGCAGATATACTAGAAGATTAAATTTATATACTAGGAGTGCACACCCTGCCATATTTTCTGCTAATAGGATAGAGAGAATCCCGTGTTCTTCAGTTAGCCTTGGATTGGTACTTTTATTTTTTGGTAGATCTGGAGGAATTGTTGAATAAATGAACAGTGGGAGTCAGATCTGAAACCGTAAGTATATGTTCAGGGTCTGAAACAAGCCCTTTGGGTCCGTAAATTGTATTATTGTTGCTTCAATTAATGTAAATCCAAACCCACGGTTTCCAGACTCTAGGGATCATCTCATCATAAAATAGTCACTAAAACTAAACATAAAAGCAGTTGCAGACTACATCCAGTTAAAACTGCTGGTCTTCGAGGCAGAGAGCTTGCAGGACTAATTCTACCTAATCACGGAGCTCGCAAGAGTTGCTGTTGGTCAGCTTTCCGTAAGCATGGGCGCACAAAGGTGCTTTGCAATATTGGTCCCTGGCCAAGAGCAAGGTGAGGAGCCCAAAGCCCCGGAGCTGCAGCCCGCGGGCGGCTGGGTCGCTTTCCGGGGCAGGGAGCGGGCAGGCTGAACGCAGCCGGGGAAAGGCGAGGAGAGGTCTCACGGGCAGGGTTTGGACCCTTTAGCACTTAATCTGTCAAAAGCTGAGCCTCGAAGTCCCCACGGGAGCTGTCAGGTTTGGCTGCGCAGACCCCAAGCCGAGGGTACTCCGAGATGGGGAGGGTGGGGTGAGCTGGGAAGGGATTGCAAATTTGGGGGAAAAGTTAGTAAAAGCATCTCAAAATTATAAAAGTGTGCGGCTTCTAAAACTGCACAAGGATTCCCTGCGGAGAGGAGAATGGCTTCACTGTGCTGACTCCCACTTTCTGAAATTCACAACTGTTCAAGTGTGTTATGTTATAGGGATAGGCAGAAATTAGATCTCAGACATTAAACAGCCACAGGGAAGAAGCCCAAAAGTCACCTATCTTAAAAATATTAATTCCCTTATCCTTGACAAAGCAAATAAGACTTACATTTGAAATAACAAAACTCATTATAATGGCTTAATATATTACAATAACATGAAAGTATTCAAATGTGTGAAACCAAAGGTAGGTACCCCTTGGGGCTGGCACTGATGCATGATCTTCTTTGGATGCCTAGGCATAATCTCTGGAATAAAAGGGAGATCACTCTTCCCTTTATAACTAGTGCTACAAAGCAATAACGTGAAGAAATGTGTAGCGTGGCTGTGCACAACTTAAAATGCCATTGCAGCCTGAGAAGTAACTTGGTAAAATCCAGACAAGTAATAAACGCTGTGTTCAGTCAATAAGCTAAGCAGAGTAATTAATTTAAAAGTAAAAGCATCTGGTCCTTACAACTGCAAATGGAAATCCTCAAAACTGCTGAGTTTCTGCTAACTAATGCCGACTCCTCGGTCTGTTAATTACATGGCTTATTGATATGCATATCTATCTGATTCCATTTACTCCACTTCCAGTTCTGGCCCCTCAGTGTCAGCCACTTCGTAGCAAGGGACATGCAGGGAGGGTGACGCCGTCCAGGCTGCGAGGTGGGAGAAGATGGAAGGAGAGAGGAGGAGGGGATGGGATCTGAGCTGGCACCCACAGCACTCGTCCCTTCGGCAGCCTGGGAAAGGCAGACAGATCGCATCAAACAGACGCAGTTAATTTTTTGGCAGGAGTGTGGCTTCTGATGGGGAATGGGGTAGCCAGAAATCCCAACACCCCATTGTTTTCCAGACAAAAAAAATGAGTTAAGCCTTATAACTGTAGAGATGCTGTAGTTCAAACTACAGTTATGGGAGAAAGGATGGAGGTGGCTTGAAAACAGCTGGTAGGAATAAGCTGTAGGTGGAAGCAGAGCTATCGCTCCAGTACCCCGAGGTCCCTTGGGAGAGGGGACTGGGGGGGGTTCAAACCCCAAAAGGCAGAGGGAAGGGATGGTGGCCATGGCATCCTGAGGGAAAAAGAGCATCCTGAGGAAAGCATCCGACCTGTGTCTGAGGCGAGCATCCGGGATGTGCTGCTGAGCGCCTGCCTGCGACGCCTCCCCGAGCACCTCTTGCACGGCCTCGGTTGCTGCCGCGCCAATAACGCTGTCATCGGCTACGAGGCGCGGTGTGATGGCATGGGACAGTCGTAGCAGGGTGTGTTTTGGAGCGGAGAAGGCTCTGGGGTTTTTCTGCAGAAGAGGCAAAAAGAGGAGGGACAGATATTGGCGGTTTTGGAAGGAGAACATCCATGTGCAGAAGCACGTGCATAGGTTGAAAGGACAAACTTCTGCCTTTGACAAGTCTGGAGAAAAGATGAATCTAACTGCACCGTTCACCCCAAACCTGGCATTTTAATCGTGTTTTTTTGTTTCTCACAAAACCATGTGCATCCATGGGATGTGCTATGTCCTCTCCCTAAGGCCAGGCTGCGCAGAGCAGAGTCCTTTACAGCAACACGAAGCGCACAGGGAAGAGAAACCCCCTGTACGTGCAGCAGCATACAGTGATTAAACGGGAGCAGAGGCACTCACGTAACGATGAGAAGTATTCAATCCACAACATGCAGAAGTGTAATTAATAATAGACTTGAAATGTTTTCAGACAGAATGCTAAAAGATTGCATTCATTCCCGGGATATATGATTATATCTTTCAATATATCAAAGAAACATTGTGTACTTAATCTAGAACTCTGCTCCTTATGTGAAATATAAGGAATTATGAGTAATCAAGTGTAGCTAGTATTTTAATAACGTGATTACCCTTCTCATCTCCTTGTTTGATGAGATGTAGTTTACCTACAACAGCAACATTTAAATTGGTCATCTTTCTTTGCCCCAGTGCAGCAGCAATGCTTCTGACATGGCTTTGGAAGCAACATCAAAAAACTGCCCAGTTCCTATGAAATTTGGGGTGAGAAGCTCAAAGCCAG